TCAGATGGCAGTCAGTCTTACATGGGAAGTAGGCAGGACAGTAGCTGTGTGTGAACAGAGCGAGAGGCCTGCCCTTTGGTGAGAGTGTGTGTCTGGAGGGGCTCAGCACCCTCTCTGGGTGATTTGATTGGGCGGTTCTTCCTCTTCTTCCCCCTCCCCCACTAGAGTCCAGCTCTCCACCACTGCAACTCCACTGTGCATTCACACAAGGCAAGCAGGGGGACGGTGCTGACCGAGCTGCTTCACCTGCGCTCCTCGGGCAGACACTGCTGCACTTTCTGTGGGCAGTAAGTGAACTTTTCATATTCTCTGCCTTTCAGAGTCCCGCTTAATCTGAACCAATGAAGAAGACTGAGGTTTTGAGGGTAACTTAGTTCTGAACCTGCTGCATCAACTCTGTTATAGCCAAAATGTCTTATTTATTTTTAAAAATGATTTAAAAACCTTCTCTTCGCGTGAGTTCACTGGACAAAGGAGTGTCATTGTGATAGTTCTGTAGGTGCGTGGAAGAAACAAGGGAGCCGCTCATCCAGCAAAGACAGGCCGTGGTTCATCTCTCCCTCCCTCAAGCCGGGCAGGCTTTCCCCACTCTACTCCAGACCCTGGGTCCTGGGTGACGCTCGATCTCTTGCTCTTGAAAGACTCTCACATGTGGGCATCCAGAAGCAGAACAAGCATCAAGGGGGAGCAGCACAGTCTTCAGAAGGGCTGAGGACACGCAGCCTTTTCCCCGCATCGATTTACCGAGGCGCCAAGAAGCAGGCAGCCCAGTTCTCCAGGCCTCCTTAAAGCTTGGGACTCTCCATAGAGTTCAAGTCACTCTCCTGGAGTCCGGCCCAGAGCAAAGCTCTGGCTTTGGGTTCTCTGGACCAGAGCCATGCTAATGGCATTTGCTACTGCCAGCATGTCAAGAAGAAACATGGAAAAACCCCGTCAGGCAGGAACACACACAAGCGTTTCTAGGATACCCCACCAGGGAATCTTCACCACTCACCCACAGCCAAGGGAACCCAGGCCCCCACCCCACTTCCCTTCCCTCTTGACTGGTTAGCATCAGTATTGCAAAACTGCCAAGTGCTTCAAGAGACTGAAGAGCAGCAGCCCCAACAGGATCAGCGCTCACGAATCCAAGAGCTGGATCGGAATCTGTTTTTCTGTGGGGCTCCCACGTTTTCATAAGCTTAGGAAAAACTTCTGCAGAGACAAATGTGACTTGGTGTTTGGTCTGCCCTGTTTTTTTTTTTAAACCTTTTGGAGTTTAGGTGCAGAAATTGGCTTACTAGTTCTCTTCTTTCAACTCACGGCATGAAGTCCATTGCTTATTGTACTGTCTTTTTCCATTCGTCTTCCATTTCCCACAGTTATCTCTTAGCAATCAGGAAGCACTCTTTCTAGGACGCTAAATGTATCTTATTAATAGTTTTACATGCATCTATGAAGCATGTATAGTAGTATTTTAACTTGTTGAAAATCTGGTGTCTACTAACTTTAAATTTTTTTCCATGTGAGTATTAAATGGCATATTTCAGTTAAATTTTTATGTATCTTGTTGCTATTAGGGTTAAGAACCTCTTTAATTTTGGTCATTCAGGTTTTTGCCTATTCCTACTCTTTCTCCATGTTCTTGGTAAATAAGGACTGTCTTTTATAATCTCACTGATTTTAATATTTACTACCACCTCCTCCTATTATGATCCATGTTAACTCTGTTGAGTCCATGTTGAAAAGAAGCCTCATGTTGATGTAGTCAGCTCCAATCAATTTTTTTTGCCTTATTCTTTGTGTAGTGTCTTATGTTAAAAATATCTTATACCCTAAAGTCCCTGTAGTAGCTTTGAAGTTTTGCCTTTTACACTCAGGTCTTTAAGCCATATGACATGTCTATGGCAGGAAGTGGAATCTTCAGGTTTATTTTTCCATAGAGTGAAGAAGCTTTTCCCGGCCCATCTCTTCAACAGTTTACTCCTCACATTGACCTGACATCAAGATTCCTGCCAGGCTGTCCTATTCATGAACACTGTACTCCATGCTTCATTTATCATTTATATACTACATTCTGTTTGGTAGGGACAGTTGCCCCTTTGCTCTGTGTGAGTACGTGTGTGTGTGTGTGTGTGTGTGTGTGTGTGTGTGTGTGTGTGTGTGTGTGTGTAATCAACTCTTTGTGAATCATTCCTCTTCAATATTCATTTTGGAATCAGTTTCCCAACTTTCTCAAAAATTTCTGCTGGAGTTCACATCAGAGCAAAATTAATATCTGATTAATTTAGGGAAGAACTGACACATTTACACTATCAACCAGGTCGATTCACTACCAACTTTGTGGTTGGTTTTTTTTTTTTTTTGGTCTGTGTATTCCATACTATCACTAGTTGCAGAAACATACAAGATTTTTATGTCAGTATTTAATTTTTATTATCATTTCTTGTTAGTATTGATAGTATGGATCTCATTTGAAAGACTGTTTTGTTCAGTACTAGTGGACTATCATTCTGTGGTATTGATGTCTATCTGACTCTGTTTATTAGGCATACAAGGAAGGCATATTAATTTTACTACTAAATCCCCTTGGATCTTGTCCACGCTGAGAGGTCCCTTAGCTGGAATGTTGCTTTTCACACTTTGTCATTACTATATGCACCAAAGTACTCTACATGTACTGCATCCTAAAAGCGTTCAAATTTGACTTTTTTATTATCCACACTTTACACATTGAAAAGAGGAGGCCAAGAAAGTCACATAGCTTATAGGAAACCAAGCTGAGTCTACAGTCAAGCCCGCCACACGGGGCACTCTGAGAGTGGGCCCTGGATCTTTCACCATGAGCTGCGTGAACCATATATTACTTACACATGCACACAATGTCAGTGTACAATGTGACCATTTTTGTAATTTTCCTTATGCTCTATATTCTGAGTATACTAATTTAATGCTAATTTAGTGTGTTATCTAACAGAATTATAGTAAGTATATTTCTATTAGTTGTAGTAAGAATAGCATCTTGGAATTTTGACTAACAATCCAAAATTGCATCTTGGATTTTTGGCTATAATCACGTGTAGTATCTGTTATCCTCAGCTTAGTATTCGATATTTCTCTATCCAAAGGCAAAAAATAATTAATACTAGTTTCTATTAATAAGTGCAAAGTTGGTGGCTGATAGCTCTCAGGTTTGTTTTTCATTTGATGTTATGGTATTTTTGCTATATTTTACAAAAGTAGACAATGAGTTGGTGACATTTTGAAGATAAACAATTGGGCCTTTTACTGGAGACCATTTGAGAAACACAGGTCTACACTATAATTCCCTGCTTAACAACGAAATCTCTAGCTGATTTATTGCTTGTATTCCTGACCCTGAGCTTCTCCTTTAAAAAGCCCCCATCTTTGGTGTTTTGTAGCCACAGAAAATGGAATGATACACGTGACAACTCCTAATCTAAATGACTGCTTAAGGAGAGAAGAATTTGAATCTATTTTCATTTGTGAAATTTCCATTTTGATAGCAGATAATAGAAATATTCCCCAAAGTGGTTCGAATTACTCAGGTCTAAGTCTATAAATGAGAGCACGCCCAAAACACTTAGTAAACAACCACAGCCGTCTTTTCAGCTTTGAGAGATTTCAGAGCCGAGACTCAGCACAGGCTGAGCTAAGTCACTGTAAACCCCAGCACGTGAGCTGCGTGTGGAGTAGATGTGAATGACTGTAACCTGAGTGACCCAGCTCACCTGAGCCTTTCACTGCCCCATGAGGCTTTCTCCTTCCCAACGCCAACAGGCAGGAAGCCGCTTTCTCTTCCTAGGAACTACAGGTAGCATCCGATCAAGAAAGAAAAGTGTGATCTATGAACCTCCCGAGGGTACAGAAGCAAGAATAAACAGGCTGCGAGAAGGGTAAATGCAAGCCACATCTAGAGAGGCATACCACTGTGTGCCCTTCCTTCTGCTTCATCTCCCGCGTCCTCTCCACCTCCACCCCTCTTTCCCCTGAGAGATTGCTTTCTGCCACCGGAATAGGAAAGTGGTGAATTCCAAGATGAATTTATATTTTGTATCTTGGAAGAGGACATCAGAATCGTTATACTCAACTATCTTTGACATACTCATTAGAAAACATGTCAGCTTGCCTTTGGAACAATTCACTTTATGCTAAGGTCACCTCTGTGGATGTGATTTTCTTTTGTCAGTTGTAGGGCTTGAACTCTGGGCCTGGGCACTGTCCCTCAGCTCTTCAGCTCAAGGTGAGCGCTCTACCACTTGAGCCACAGCGCCACTTCCAGTTTTCTAGTGGTTTATTGGAGATAAGAGTCTCACGGACTTTCCTGCCCAAGCTGGCTTTGAAGCAAATCCTTAGATCTCAGCCTCCTGAGAAGCTAGGATTACAGGCATGAGCCACCGATGCTTGGCTTATAGATGCAATTTTTATCTTTTTTGGGAGAACTGAAATTTACCAGTCAATATCTGCAGAAGAAAACTGGCAGTTTTTAGTAATTTCTCAGTGAAGTGAACAATATTTTCCAAACTTGGCATTTTTCTCAGATTATCTCACCAAGTGACCACAGGTAAAATCTTATTCATAACAAGAAAGAATTCTTTCACATTTAGTATATACTACATATTTGTCCTATGCTGGTATACTGGAATAAGGAATACTTACTGAAGCACATGTGTACTCTAGGGTTGGGAACAAATCCAGATATCTGGCATTAAGGACAGAGAGAGAAAGAGCTCTCAGAGTGTGGCAGTAGTAGGAATAGAGATCCTGCTAAACCAGTGACCATCACCTTGACTGTTTTCCTGCCCTTTCTGTGCTGTTCTACTTATTAACTTCCGTTGTCACTTTCTCACCCAGAGCACCCCTCAAATCTGTACCTGCCGACTGAGGAATTTCTTCAGTGGGGATGAAAGGCCCCCCCCCCCATGACTCCTGAATCACACTCCTCCAATACACGCAACTTCCTTCTTCTCCCTTTCAGTACCCAGCTGCTCAGAGCACTTCCTCGGGAGCTCGGGCCCAGCTCCCCGCACCAGTCGTGAACCTCACGGGCTCCGTAAACATCTAGAGCAGCAAAGGCAGCACAAGCAAGTTCCGCCAGCTGGGGGTAAGGTGGGACCCCCGCTTTGCTTTGTCCGCCCATTCTTTCTGGAGACAGAGAATAAGCAGGGAAAACTGTCCCATAAGCAGTTCAAAGTGAGCCTCGTGGAAGCCGCTGCTGGGCGGGGGAATCCATGCATAGAGCTGGGATGACAGCGCTGGAGACTGAGTGCTTGCTAGAGAGAAGGTGAAGACAATTTCATTTTCTTTCTTTTTTCCTCCCTTTGGTTTATCCTTTGTTGTCCTTTTTTTGGTACCCTGTATCTTGTATATACTTTTATCTGATTTGAGGAAGGGAAGGTGAATCACGGAACGGTGAGACAAAGGACAAAGTGTGAACTAATGCAACAGCGATAGAGGACAGCAGGTTAGGAATGGACCTTACGACTTGGGGGGAGGAGAGAGGGAGGGGGGTGGGAGGAAATGAGGGAGGGGTAACAATGGTTGACAAGAAATGTCCTTATTACCTTACCTGTGAAACTGTGACCCCTCTGTACATCACCCTTACAATAAAATGAAATACAATTTAAAAAAAGAAAAAGAAATAAAGGTAAATGCATCAAAGCAAGCAAGGAAGGAAGGATGGAAGGAGGGAGGAAGGGAAAGAGGAGAAAGAAAGAAAGAAAGAAGGAAGGAAGGAAGGAGGGAAAGAAAGAAAGAAAGAAAGAAAGAAAGAAGGAAAGAAAGAAAGAAAGAAAGAAAGAAAGAAAGAAAGAAAGAAAGAAAGAAAGAAAGAAAGAAAGAAAGAAAGAAAGAAAGAAAGGTGAAGAGATTGTAAACTATCCACTCTGTATGTTTCCTTGTATCTCTGATCAAGATTCTCTTACATATATAATTTGGTTCTGGAATAGGAATGGGAACTACACAAAGGGAAAGATTAGTGGGTGGCGGAGGTTTGACCCAAATTTGAGGGAATTATTTATGTCATTTGTTGCTACTTAACATACTTGGACTACTAGACAAAGATCATGACTGCGTATTCCTCCTGTTAACCTCTGCTCCCTGAATAGTTTTTCCATGAAGAAAAAAACCGGCCTAGCAATTAAGAGCTCACTGGGTAAAAGTGTGTTTTCTTTTTGCCATAGTAGGAAGTGCTTTTCTCAGAGATATAAAAGTAACTATGAATTTCATCCCTGTATAGAATTTTTGCAGTGGTGCTCTTCGAGGGAGATAATGTAAGATCTTTTAAATTTTGCTTATTTAGGCTAGGAATAGACCGACCAGATATTTAAAGGAGGAGAAAAAGGTCAGACAATCATTTATTGAGATCACTCTATAATAATTACTATCAGGGATATGTAAATGTGTATGAATATGAATGTGCAAACACAAAGAGTCACGGAGCTGTGAGCTGGTGAACAAAAACACCTCACCTCTTCGCTCCTGACCCTTTGCACTACACTCAGCCCAGGGAGGAGCGGGGAGGAGTGGGAGGGTCTTGTTTCTCAATCTCAGGACTGGTCCCCCCACACACCCCACCCTTCCAGCTGACAGCGCAAGGAGGCCGGGTCTCCTCACGTAGGAGGAAGCATCCTGAGAAATTAAGACAGCATGCTTGACAGATTGCAAAATATCACCAGTGTAGAATGGAACGTTGATTTCCCCACAGGATCTGAAATTTTCTGACAGTTGCTCTGCCTGCTCCCCCTGTCCCATCCTTGTGAAATCATTACTTTTATTCTATGACTCGTGCCTTGAGCCTTGTATGTGAAGGGAGAACAAAGAAGAGTTCTTTTTGTGAATGTATCTCTTAGTACTAAGTGTAGTCGTAAGTCCAACATGTTCTTCTCTTAGAAAGGAGGGGGAAAGCTTAATAGAAATAAAAAAAGTACTTCCAAAATACTCCAGGAGCCACATCACCTGTGAAATGCCACCAGTCCCGCCTCCATTGATGGCTGTCAATCGGTTGCTATACGTGGTGGTACATGCCTGTAATCCCAGCACTTGAGAGAATGAGTAAGGAAGATAGAGTTTGGGCTAACTGGGGCTATCTACTATGACTGACTCAAAAAATAAACAAAAAGTTGCCCACTGGCAAAGGAAACCGTTACCTGTCTGGGACAGTCCCTGAGTCCTGGGGTATAACTTTGTCATCAAAAGCCTCCTTTGGATTTCTTATTAGCACAGACCTCTCCTAAAGATCTCTCCTTTTATATAGCTACTCCTGTAGGTGAAAACTTGTTTCAAGTTTGTAGCTTGTATTCTCTGTCATATTTTGCATACCAGGAATGCATGCTGGATATTTACAGCCAGTCTAGACTGGTGGAGCCATTCAACAATTCAGTCCACAGGTATTGATTAAAATCACAGATTATTCACTTCTTTAAGAACTCAAAAATTGTATATTAGACTTGGAAAAAATTATACTCGTGCTTGTGGCCCATCATTGGCCATTGGGCTAATTAATCCCACTGGGTTATATATTTTAAATTAAAAGGATTTTCTTATACACACACACACAAAAAAAAATGACAAATAGAACTATGCTTACAAAAACTGAATAATACAATCATTCTCTTCATAATTCTCAAAGTCAAATAGGAAAGACATGACAAAGTGTTGTTGATGACACTATGAAAAAGTATAGCGAGGACATGGCAGATACAAAGAGGTGTTGTTCTGGGAAGATCTCTAGAGATGAGGCTTCAGTGATGAGCAATCTTCCAGGACCTAAAGGCCACACTTCCAGAGAAACTGCTTGCAAAATTTCAAATAATACTCTAGGGAAGTAGAAACCCTGGCTAGTTCAGTCCTAGCTCCAGTACTGCCTTTTAACTAACACCACTGATATATTCAATCCAGGGTCCATATGAGAGTGAGACAAGACAGGCAAAATGGGCACAAAAAGTGAGCAGAATTGCTGCTCAAGCTGACTGCGCTGTGCTGACCTTGAAAGTGGTCCCTTCCTGTGTCTCTACGTGTCCATCATGGTACTTAGCACGCTTCCTGCAGCAGCCTGTTTCCTGCATAGACTACAACCTCTTTTGACCTTATAAACCTTTGTAACTTCTGGGGCTCATGCACAGTATGGTGCGTGGAAAGACTCAACAAATTGTAGTATCTTTTTGAAAACTTTTTGAAAATAAGCAAGTTTGTAGTCAAATCCACCACATCCTCGAGGGACGAAGCTTTCCCAACAACCTTCTTCTTGGCTCCCATCTCCCTCCTACCAAGTCTGGGCAGAGTTCCTGCTCCTGAGGCTTCCCAGCAGGCCCTGCGGCAGTCAGCACCTCTGGAACTTTTCTCCCCTCCCTTGCCTGTTCCCGCAGTTTTGTCTGGAGTGAACATTGAAGCATTCTGTCTTCCAGTCCTCTACATCACACAATCCTTTCCGGCCAGCCCACTGTTAACCCCTCCAGTTAAATTCTCACTTTTAGATACAGTCTTTTTCATTTTTAGAAATTCCATTTGCTTCTTTTGAAAATATCTTTTATTTATCTCCTCACCATGCTTGCCTTTTTCTGTGCATCTTTGAACATATGGGGCATATTTATAGAAGTCGTTTCGATGTCCTCATTCACTAATTTCACCATCTCTGCGATTTCTGGGTCTCATTTGACTAACTGACACCACTCCTGGTCACAGGTCATATTTTCTTACTCTACATAGTCAGAAACAAAGTGTATCCTCATGTATTCTTTTTTTATGAACTTGAACTCTGGGCCTGGACTTTATCCCTGAGCCTCTTTGTGTACAAGGCTTGAGTGCCCTACCACTTGAGCCACAGCCCACTTCTGGCTTTTTCTGAGTAGTTTACTGGAGATAAGTACTTTCCTGTCAGTCTTCTGAGTAGCTAGGATTACAGGAGTGAGCCACCATGCCTTCAGGTATTCTTCATAGGTTTTCTTTAACCTTATTCTGTTAAATCAATCTGACTATCCCCAGGTGCAGACCTGTCCACTCAACTCTACCAAGTGAGTCCTTTCCCCAACTCTCTTCTCTCCGGGGACCAGGAGAGGTAGAATTGCTTTGCCACACTTGCTTCTTGGTTGCTGCTCATCTATCTGCCTTTTCCTTCGGATGTACCTGGTGTATACTTCTGGTGCTCACTCCTTTGCTCTCTGATGTGTCTTTCTGCTTCTGGGGCTCCATATGTTCCTACTCTGAAGATCTTTTCCTTTTTCTTTGTACTGTTTCCTCTGCCGTCTGGGCAGTATCCGTTTTTACAGTCCCTTCAGAGCCCCAGGCCTCTGCTTCCTCCCCCTGCAGCGCTGGGGTACACGCAACTGGAAGTTTGGCCCAGGACACTTTTAATTCCTCTGTGCTCCGCTCTCTGGAGTTATCTCTACAAATTTGTAGCCTAATTATTTTTTTCTTAAATTTTAAATTCATCCCATACTCTTTTACTCTCAGAAAAATTACCTTTCTTCTTGTTGTCATGTCCAAAGTCAAGTTCCAAATATCAAGTATCCTGAACTCCAACTCCTAATTAATATTATTTTACTAGTATTTGTATTAATATTATAAATATCATTAGTGTGTTCTTCCCTCCATTCTACCCTGGGCACAGGTGACCCTTCCTGATCATTTCTTCTGTCTGTGCCCTTGAGCCTGCTGAGCGAGGCCCCCACCACCCTGCTCCTTCCCTTTCATACTTTTGAGGGGTTCGTGGCCACTGGCACCCCGCACTTGAGAACCGTCTCTTGTGTTTGTGTGCAAACGCATTGATTGGACTATTTATTAAATTCCTCGGGAGAAGAATGCTTCTTTATCAGTGTATTAATAACAACTATCATCAAATCTGTCTTCTTATGTGTCTGACATTTCACTTTTCCTCACTCCCTCGGGCACTGGCTATCCATAAGAGTCCAGCAAAGCAACAGGGAAACTATCAATTCTAGCCATGGCACACTAGCTGGTTGGAACAATCTTTCCATAAAGTACTACTACAAATACTCTGGATAATTTTAAATAAAGGGTTCAAAAGATTTAGAGCTCTCATGGTCCCTGAGATATGAAATCTCATGATCCCTGAGATACGGGTCTATGTTTCACTTCCTTTCCCTGATGGACTCTTCTGATTCTAAAATAATAGCTGAAAATGGGAAGGGGAAACAAAGGAGGAGGCTACAATGCTTGATAAGAAATGTACTCATTATCTTGCCCATGTAATTGTAACCCCTCTATACAGTATTTTCACAATAAAAATAAATAAAATATAAAAAAGAAATGTACTCATTACCTTGCTCATGTAATTGTAACCCCTCTGTACCATATTTTCACAATAAAAAACATATTACAAAAAATAAGATAAAATAAAATAATAGCTGAAAGACTGAGTAGCAATAAGAACCAACCTAGTGGAAGGATTACAATCCTAGAAGATTCTAATTAGACTCCTGAACTCCTGAACTCTAATTAGACCGGACCTCGTGAAGGTACTAAACACTTTAGCTCAGGATTGAATTAAGGTGATCTATTTCTTATTTAATTACTCGCCATAAGTAAATATAGCTCTGTTCTAGGAAGATACGACATCTCCTGGGAAATAGGCACCTGCCAGAATTCTCAGGGTCAGCATCCTGGTGGGTCAGCATCTCCAGTCTGGCTAATTCAGGAGCCTGACTGATCTCCACTCCTTCAGTCCCACTGCCTTTCCATCCCCTCAGTGCTGCACTTGGCATATCCTTAAAAAAACACACAAATACTCTATCACTATTTTTCTCAAATACTTTTCTAATGTTGATTAATGTTTCTAAAATGATATTGAAGTTAATAGACTATAACTTCCAGTCTTTAGTGGTTAGCAATAGTATGCCTGACCAGATGTGTACCTTTTTACTTGATCTTTTTTCCCTTCCTTTGTCTTCCCCTCACCCCCCCCCACCCTCCCACCCCGCCCCATGGCTTAGAAGTATCCTCCAAGGAATCCTTTGTTCAAGGCTTGGGCCTAGTGGGAGATGATGGAAGCTTTGGTTGGTAGGACATGGTGGAGGAAGTCAGGTCACCGGCGTGTGTCCTTGGACTTGGTATATTGTGACTGTGGCATTTCCTCTCTCTCTCTGCTTCTGGACCATAATGAAGCGAGCACAGCTCCTCCACTGCGCTGAGTTCCAAATGATGGGGTCAAATAACCTTGGACTGCAATCTCTGAAGCCAGGAGCCAAACTAAACCTTGCCTGCTTTGCAAACTGCTCATTGCAGGTATTTTTTATGCCAGTAACAGGAAGCTGATCATCACACTCTGACTTACAGGCAAACGGGATGAATATGAGACCACAGGGCCCCCTCCAGCCTCTGGGTGCACCCTTTGCTCTCTGGTTGGACGGAATATCCACCGCCATCTCCTCCACCCCGAGCTGCCCTTCCCATCCTTGTGCCAGGTCGGGAGCTCCGGCCGCGTGTCACACACGCCTCTGTGCTCCGCTGCTTGTGACATTAGGCTTACTTTGCTATTTTGCTTACTTAGCTTTTTTTTAATTTTTAATTTTACTTCATTGGAAAGATGCTGTACAGAGGGGTTGCAGTTACATGAGTAAGGCCATGAGTCCATGTCTCGTCAATCATTGTTACCCCTTCCCTTGTTGTTGTCCCACCATTGTTGAATACCATTTTTTTACTCTTTAACCTCTACTATTTGTCTTTTCTCCAGGATACATATGGTCTATGGTGGTGAAAGGGAGAAGCATTACCCTCATAAGTTCCAGAAATCTCTTTCTGAGGTCTGAGAATGCCATTTTCCTGTTTGCTTCCTCTTATTTGAGTCGAGTTTTCCATCTGATCCTTTCAACGATCATTTCCAAATTAATCTCCAACACGGTTCTTTTAAAGCAAGTATTTACTGTCAATTCCATACTCACAAACTCACTTCACGGTGCAAACTCAAAACTTAAATTTACAGTCTGACTATTGAAATGTATCTTCACAGACCTCTGAACTGCTCAAAATGGAGAGAGATTATCTGTGACCTGCCAACCCAGACGCTACTTCACGACTCAAAGATGCAGTTCCCCAGCTGTAGGTCTCGCTGGCAGGTAGCTCCGGTCACCAGGCTTCTTCAGAGCCTCCTGCGCTGAGAGGCATTGCCATGTCAAAGGCCTTGCCCTCTACCTAAGGCAGCCTTCGTTCGATGAATGAGGGACACAGAGTAGGCCATGCCGGCCCCTTCCCTAGCTCTGTGCTGCTCAGAAGTGCCGTCCAGCTTCGCAGCTCACCTATGGTTGACTGACACTTCACTGGGTGGCCTGAGGGACCAACTTCTGCTAAATTCTGCCCCTTCTTCTTTCTTTTCCTTTCCTTTCTCTTCCCTTTCCTGCTGCCTTTTCTTCCTTATCCCTCCCTTTGTCTTCCCTTCCTTTCTTCAGATACTTTCAGGAGTCCCTCATGAAGCTCTTGTACCATATTTTATGCTTCAGTCTTGTTTTTCTTCTCCCCTGGAAAAATCCAGTCTGAAATGGTATCTAGACATCTCAATTGTACTTGTTTTCCTCATTCTATTAAATAGTACGCTCCAGATGCTAAACATTATGGAATCTACAAGTTGTTTTCCCTGCCACTCTTGCGGATACTACTGGGCTTTTAACTCGCACCTGTTCGCAGTTCTGCAGTCGCCAGCTGCTCTGCTTGCTCAGCTCTGCCCAACTCCGATCCCTTGCTCCACGTCGCCAAACCTTTACTTCACAAAGAACCTCAATGGCTCTCCATGGCTGGTGTTCACTTATACATTCAGGTGGTCAATCCACATTTACTCAAAAGCCATCATGTTTCCGAGTATGGGACACGTTCTGGGAATACAGAGTTGAACTAAACAGAGTCCCTGTGCTCACAGAGCTCATAACTAAGAGAACATGATAAACAAAGGTGTGTGAGGGGAACAAATAGAAGCACAAAGCACTTACGGTCTGGAAAAGGGGAGAGGCGTGAATCAAATGACCATTTATGTAAACTGAAATGACATCTAGGATCAGCTCCACAAAAGAAAGGTTCATTATGTTACAGACACTTGTAAGGGCTGTGGAGAACTTCTAAAACATGGGAGTATTTTTGGGGGTGAGGGCAGGTGAGTAAAATGTACATGCTTGGGCTTGGAGCAGAAAACTCCTCCCACTCTGACCTGGTTTCCCTGTGCAGTTTCATCTTCCATCGACCAGAACCCTCCCCGCTACACCATCCCCCACTCAAGTGTTACAGGGGTCCTGTGCGCCTCTGCTAGTCCCATGCCTTCGTTTTTCCATGTTACCTGTGCTGTGATTTCCTCTCTCACCCTCTCCAACCAAGTTCTCCATGAAGCTCTCTCTTTTTGTATATGCTTTTTTATTGTGAAAATACTGTACAGAGGGGTTACAGTTACACGAGCAAGGTCATGAGTACATTTCCTATCAAGCATTGTTGCCTCCTCCTTTGTTTTCCCCCCACCATCCCTTCCCTACATCCCATCTCTACAACTACACCCACCCCGCCTGCCTAAATTGTAAAGTTCATTTTTCAACATAGTGTCTTGTACATCTCATTGTTACAATGGGTCAACCTGTATCCCTATTTCAACATGACTATCCTTAAAAAAATCAATCCGGGTGCCTGTGACTCACAGATGTAATCCTAGCTACTCAGGAGGCTGAGATCTGAGGCTTGCAGTTGAAAGCCAGCCGGGGAAGAAAAGTCTTTGAGATTCTTATCTCCAATAAACTACTCAGAAAAAGCTAGAAGTGGTACTGTGGCTCAAATGGTAGAGCACTCAAGCCTTGAACACAAGCAGGTTCAAGGACAGCACCCAGGCCCAGAGTTCAAGCCCAAGGACAGGATAAAAATATCAGAATAGCCATTGGTTTCCCTAGTGGACATTTCCTAATTCCTCAGTATGATTCTGATGTGGTGTCTCTGTTGTTCCTTGTATTCATGCTCCAGATTCACAATTTTAGAAACTTTGACCTAACACTGGTTCTTTGTGTTATAACTTTCCACTTAGTCTACTTTTCTTGATATATGGAGTCATATTTGAATATTTGAATGGAGTCATATTGAATGAGTGGATAGATGGAATTTGCATGAATATATAGCCTTACATTTATCTTTATAAACTTAATGTAAAAGGGGGTGATATCAATAAGAAGCATTACAGTTATAAACTGATATGTTGAATGGCAACTCCATTGTACAACTATTTATAGATGATAAAAACGTAGTTAAAACAAACTAGAATGCAAATGTTAATAATAACTTAGTTTTGCAACAAGTTTGATAAATAAAAATCTTTACATAAGCAGATTTCTGATATGCTTTAAGCTTTTAGTTGAGAAGTGGCGTGTAGGAGATTGAGTTCAGTTATTTAGATGATCAAAAGAGCTATGGCATACACTTCCTGTCTGATGGCTTTGGTCACCTCCTCCAGGCCTGCATGCTGATTATCTCCACTTCTGGGAAGTGGACCAGCTGCAGTTAAACCAGGGATTTGGGAAGTAGAGCCAAGGTTCAAATAGCATTTCATGCTTCTGTGTTCCATGGAGCACAACTTAATGGGATCCCAGCTGTTATAGTTCATAGACAAAATGATGTTAGTTCTGACTGGGAAAGAAAGATCATCTATGCGCCATTTGTTTTTTAATTGGAAAGCAATTTAACAGCAAATAGGATTTTCTGGATCACCTTGTCAAACCAAATGTAAATAAATCCTAAATCTAGATGAAATGGATGCAAGAAGTTAGAAAGAAGGACCACAAATATCGTGACGTTACAAAGCGTGACCATTCTCTAAACCTCATTAGTAACCCTTGGACATTACACCCCAGACTGTGAGCACAACTCCATCCATGGGACACTTCCCTACAAGCTTGGAGCGTTGCCTTGCTTTCATATTGAGCAAAGATATGGAATTGTGCTAAGTGAAGGAAACCTTGTGTACTTAAATGTAAATGAGCATAACTTTCTGAGAGAAAGGTGGTTGTTGTCTACTGTGAAAAACATAGCTGAGTTTATTTCTTGGTTTTCACCTTTCGCCCTTTCGCCCACGCTTCCTTCCTTCCTTCCTTCCTTCCTTCCTTCCTTTTTTCCTTCCCTCCTCCCTCTCTCCTTCCTTCCCTCCCTTCCTCCTTCCCTCCTTCCTTCCTTCCTTCCTTTATTTCTTTTTTCTTTCTTTCTTTCTTTCTTTCTTTCTTTCTTTCTTTCTTTCTTTCTTTCTTTCTTTCTTTCTTTCTTTCTCTTTTTCTTCCTTTCTCCCGCTCTTTCTTTCTTTCTCTCTATCTCTATCTTCAGGAAGGTGGGGAGTAGGGAACAGCACTCGAGGAAAACAAGGTGAAAATGCAGTGATAGAGCTCCCTGGATATTGATGAAAATGAATTATGCAACCCGTGAGTGGGTGGGGACAGGAAGGAGGGACTGGGAGAGAATAAGGGAACAGAAGACACTGTAGGAAAGGAAATAGACTCATTATGTAGCTCATGTAATTGTGATCCCTTTGTACATCATCTGTATAATAACAATAAGGTAAATTAACGTTTAAAAAAAGAAAGAAAACGCTGGGAATTCACTGCCACACCTCCTTCCTGCTGTACGCTGGGCCATGCGGCCAGTGACTTCTGGCAGCAGTCAACCGCATCCCTGGGTAATATTAAAACGAGGTCCTTTGGTGACATGATACAGTCACTAAGTTAAACCTCATCAGAAGCCAACACATTTCTGGAATTTTCCACTCAGTGATCCAATATATTGTCCTTATTTTTAAGCCAGTTTGAAATGTTATTTTATTCTATTTTTTTTTACCATTTACAACCAGAAGAGTCCTAATAGATACAATCTACTGAAATCATCCCATTGGTTCCTCTGCTAATAAAGCCAAAATGATGCCCAAAAGGGAAACACACTTACTCAAGATCAAACAGATTCACAGCCGCAGATTTGCTAATAGAAGACAAGCTTCCTCCTGCCTGTCTGTGCTTTTCTTCTTCTTCTTTCTTCCCTAGACTTCTCAGCCCACATACATATCATGCCATGCTATTTTCTAGCTCAATTAGTATTCCAAGCAGCCTTTCACTTATAAGTAAACTAGTGAAAATCGATTCGTATGGTAACACCAAGTAATATGGGGACCTCTGGGATGAAATCATATTGTGCCATCCTGCTTTCCTAACCTCTTCTTAAATCTACACGTTATTTCAATTATTGAGTGTAATCCTTGTGGTGCTGTGCACAAGGAATAAAGCAAGATGGTCAGAGTATTCCCATAGCAACCAGCAGGAGGAAGAAGGCTTTGCTGACACATGGAGTTTATGTAGGAAGAGAACTCTGAAACCGGTTTTCTCTAAACTCCCAGTCTGAACGTCTTCCTGTCTACCTGTTTCTTTTCTTCCACTCCTTTTGTCACTCTTGCTGTGTGTCATCCCCCGTGTGTGTATGTGTACGTGTGTGTGCACACATGTGGAAGCCAAGTTTGCTAATCTATTCCTTCTTCACTGAGAAGCCTTCATACTTCTTATTCATCTCATTCTCTCCTTCTCCTTCCCTCTCTTCTCCCTCTCTTTCCTACTCTCTCTTCTCTTCCTCCCTTCTCCCCCTTCTTTGTAACTTTCTGCCATGGAAAGGATATTTTCAAGTTTTCCCATCTTGAGACACACCACCATTATTTTATTTTATTTTATTTTGGGTCCGGTCATGGGGCCTGAACTCTGGGCCTGGGTGCTGTCCCTCAGCTCTTCAGCTCAAGGTTAGAGCTCTACCACTTGAGCCACAGCGCCACTTCTGGCTTTTTTCTTTTTGCTTATGTGGTGCTGGGGGATCAAACCCAGGGCCTCAGGCATGCAAGGCAAGTGCTCTACCACTGAGCCACCTTCCCAGCCTCCACCATTATTTTAAAATCCTTCCCTGGTTCAGCTAAACATGAGCTAAGTATAGTGGTTACTATAGAAATACCCAAGGAAAATAGCCAAAGAGATTTATTAACATGAAAAAGTCTCTTCTCAGGGCTGGGAAGGTGGCTCAGTGGTAGAGCGCTTGCCTTGCATGCATGAGGCCCTGGGTTTGATTCCTCAGCACCACATAAGCAAAAGAAAAAAGCCAGAAGTGGTACTGTGGCTCACGTGGTAGAGCGCTAGCCTTGAGCTGAAGAGCTGAGGGACAGTGCCCAGGCCCAGAGTTCAGGCCCCATGACCAGACCCAAAAAAAAGAAAAGAAAAGAAAAAGTCTCTTCTCTAAGCAGAGAATAAGGAAATGAAATGAGTAGTGTGTGAAGAAACAAATTCCTGTACTGGTATTGTAGCCCCCACGCCTGGACCTGCCAGCATTGTGATCATTTCAGGACCATAACTATTTACAAGTTCTCGCAATGGGGCATC